GGAAGCAGAGCAGAGTCTGACCTCACTTCCTCTTCCGCCCAGAATTCTATTCTGTTTACTCCTCCCATCTATGTTCCAAGCTGAGGCCAAGCAGTTGGTTTATTATAACTTAACCAATGAAATCAACAGATTGATATATGACACTCCCACATCATAGCCTCAGACTGCTGGAGAGAGTGGTGGAAAGGCGGTCTCTGGCATTTACAAGAGATATGCATTCTTTTCAAACTGCCCTCTCGCTTCTGTTGCCTGTAAAGGGAGTTCCCCTGAAAGGATAAAAAAGCCAGCAACCCACTGGGCTGCTATCTTCTCCCCCTGCCGTGCGGTCAGGCTGCTCTGTGACTGGGCTTACTAATATCAGGCGATTTCAGAATGGATCTCAGGCCTTTAGACAGGGCTCTGTGCAAACTTCAGGCTCTCTACTTCCTACTTACCAGCTTCTCCTGCCTCCCCACATGTGATATTTTTCATTCCTGGAAGCAATATCTTTTTGCTTTGATTAAAAAGCATTTTGGTAGATACCCTCGGACCTTTACTAACTCATCCCAAAGCATGATTGGTGTGCCAGAAAGTCTACTAGATCTTATGTGTGTAGCAAGAACAGTGTCTCTTAGCGGTTGCCAAGAGCAGGGTGTGTGCAGGTGGTGATGGGAAGGCCACATGACTAGCAGGCTCACACGTGGCCGGGAAGAGAGAAAGATTTCTGATGATAACTATATCATAATGTTCACAGCATAATATCGTCTAACAAGAACAAGAGTGTTTCCCTATCTTCCTGTCTGCCAAGCACTGGGGCAATTGGTATGGTCTTTATCCATCGCTTGTGGCAATTTATATTTCCACTTATTTAACGGACAAAGGGATGGAGACACGAGGAGGTGAAGGGAGTGCAGTGGGTCAGTTCGTTTCAAACTTGGCTCTGCAGTTCAGAGAAAGGCCCTTTGGATGGCATCCGCCTGTGCTAGCAAAAGCCCTAGAAACAAGTCCTCCTGGGTTTCCCTGAAAAGAATTTGTTTCTTCTGTTCTAGAAGGACGTTGGGTGGAGCTAGTTGTGCTTAGGAGGCGTTGCTGAGGCCTGTTTTGCTTCTTTAGCCTTCAGGGATAGATTCTTATTATTTTCCAGGTGACCTTGGCTCTGGGCTGAATAAGTGAGTTCTCTGCTGCACTTCAGGAAGGCGTTGGGTCATTCTGCTAATTCAGTAAGGTACATCTTCTTAGAAAGAGATTGGGGTGTTTGGGAGTGGGGGTGATGTCAGTGGCTGAGTTTCTACTCATAAAGGGAAAGATTCTTTCTGATATATCTAAATCTATTAAGATGGCCCTGTCAGCCCCAAGTGAACATCCCAAAGACTGACATGCTTGCCAAAGTCTTGGGCAATGTCCCTGTTGCTACATTCAGAGGACATGTCATAGTTATTTTTATTTGAATTCTCAGCATCATTTGCTGCTGTCATCTTTTGAATGAACCCATTCTCTTAATCTCCTAGTTTTTTTTTAATGTTAATTTTTGTTATGTGGATGTGGAGGTCTATATGCACGAGGGTGAAGGTGTTTGTGGAGGCCAGAGGTGTCAGGCTTCCCTGGAGCTGGAGCTACAGGTGATTATGGATTACCTGACATGGATGCTGAGATCTGAATTCAGGTCGTCTGTAAGAGCAGTAACCACTGAGTCATCTCTCCAGCCCTGGTTTTCTAGTTTTCTTCATACCTCTTGAGTGATGTTTGCTTGTTTCTTCATGACTGGTATTCTCCAAAGACATATGTGTTCTTTAGTCCCAGGACATTCTCATTCTCAGAGATCTCATTCATTGTCAAGGCTTCAAACGGGAGCTCCGGGCGCTGGAAATGGTTTCCCCATATCTGTCTTAAGACTCCATTTTTCATTTCATTTATGGAACATAAGCTTACAGCAACTTCAGCTCAAATAATTCCGATATCTAATACCTAATTGGATATGGCAGCACACGCCTGTAATCTTACCACTCAGGAGAATGAGGCAAGAGGATCGCGAGTTTGGGAGTAGTGTAGGCTGCTTGTTTCAGAAGGCCATGAATAAGTAAGACCCATGATGTGACCTGCCCTGTTTATCCTACATCATCTTGTCTTCTCTGCCTGTGAAGGGTTTCTACCAGTAGCTATCTGTATGCCCAAGCCAGGGGCCTTGTCATTGTCTTTGGTTCTTCCTGCTCTCTTTCTCCATGACAGCTATTTCTATAAGCTCTATTTCAAAATCGATTCTATCTGTTTGTTTCTTTTTGAGACAGTATCTCTGTAGGCATCCTCTGGAGTGCTAGGCATACAGGTATAAGCTACTATGTCTGGCTTCTGACTTGGGTCTTTTCCTGTTGTTGTTTCTTGAGACATGGTTTCTCTATGTACCCCTGGCTGTGCTGGAACTAGCTCTGTAGACCAGGCCGGCCTGACCTCACAGAAGTCTGCCTGCCTCTGCCTCCCAAGTGCTGGGAGACTTGGATTATTTTGTTGTTGTTGGTTTTGTTTTGTTTTTCAAGACAGGGTTTCTCTGTAGCTTTAGAGCCTGTCCTGGCTCTCCTTTACCAGGCTGGCCTTGAACTCATAAAATCCACCTGCCTCTGCCTCCCAAGTGCTGGGATTAAAGGCATGTGCCATCCTGGTTGCTGGGTTCCTCTGCGGCTGATGCAATAAGCCAAATTAAACTGAATTAATAAATCCAGATGTAATAAACAGGGCAATGCAAGGCAGAGCACCCCCCCCCCCCCGTAACTCTCAGGAAGACTGGACAAGAGAACACAAGAGCACACATGGCAGATCTATGAACCATGTGGCAGATCCGTGGGCCTGGTCCTAAACAGTCGGTGTGGTACTTGGCATCTCTGGTGGAGGAGCCACTGATGGCCAGTTTCCTCAGGTACAGAGTCTGGGATGAGGCAGCTCCAGGGAGTTGCTGCTTGATGTGCTGAGGGCAGGGTTTGGAACAGCCTTTCCTGCTGGAGATTCCAAACATCCCAACTTTTTTTTGGTATATATGGGCACAGGTTCAAGTTTGGCTGTTTCCTGATGGTAATGGACAGCGGGGTAGGGGGAGTTGGGAGTCGCTGGACTCACACTCAGTGGGAGTTATGGGTGAAGAAGCATTCGGTTAGCTGTCATCCTAGAGACCCCAGGCATTTTTTCCTTGAGGAAGCTGAGCAGTCATGTTGCTAGGAGAAACATAGATAGTTATCCCCAGTCCTATGAATAAGATTAGCCATGGGAAGGGTGAAGAACTGCCAGGAAGAATGGAATGGAGAAGTGCCCTGGTTGTACAGTAGAGACAAGGGCGAATGAGCAGGACAGGGGAACAGTTATGCCCTTTCCTGGGACATCTTGGAAAACCAGGTTCCGGTTGCAGGGTAGGTGCCCACTTGAGCCTGGAGAGGTGGTACCAGTGGTGAAGTCCCAAGAGCTGGCACAGGGTCTAACATATCTAGAAGGCTCTCTGTGGGTTGGCCTTGGCCCAGGTAGGAGGACTGAACCTGTAAGAAAAAAAAAAAGCTCAAAAATGGGTGGGGCCAAAAGGGGGGCGGTCTGGAGACAGTTACTGACCTATTTCTGCCAGCCAGGCCCTACCTCCTATGGGGTCTGTGGCTTTTAAGCGTGAGTTGGTGGTGGAGAGTTTAAAACACATGCCTGTAGGAGACGCTTCTGATTCCAATCACAGCTTGGTGTCCTAGCTTTATTCAGCTGGGTTTTGGTATTGCCTGTAACCTGCGCTCTGCATAGGCAAGAGCAGAACTGTTTTCTCTACCACTGTATCCTAGATCTTTGCAAATAAGAAGGCAGGGGCCAATGTTAAAATATTTGCTATTTAGATGTCTACTCTGGCAGCATAAACATTTATGCTGAAACTTAGTGACTCCAGACAACAAATTTACATTCTGTCAGAGTTTTTGTGAGTCACTATTTCAGGAGCAGGTTGGCTAGGTGTTTGCTTCAGAAGGTTAGAGACAAGGTATCAGCCAGGGCTGCTGTAATCCTAGGGCTAAAGGGCGTTTCTCCAAAGTGGCCAGTCACATGGCTCTCGACAGGAGGCCTCAGCTACTGAGAAGCTATATAAGCTTCTCCAGATGTTTGCTTGAAAATCCACATGGCAAGTGTCTCAGTTTGGGTTTCTATTGCTGCAATGAAACATCATGACCAAAAGCTGGAGAGGAAGGTACTTATTTCACTGTACTGCTACATCATAATCCATCACTGAAGGAAGCCAGGACAGGAACTCAAACAGGGCAGGAACATGGAAGCAGGCACTGATGTAGAGGCCATGGAGGGGTGCTGCTTACTGGTTTGCACCCTATGGCTTGTGCAGTCTGCTTTCTTTCTCTTTTCTTCCTTCCTTTCTTTCTTTTTTTTTTTTAGGTTTTTCAAGATGTAGCTTTGGAGCCTGTCCTGGAACTAGCTCTTGTAGACCAGGCTGGCCTTGAACTCAGAGATCTTCCTGCCTCTGCCTCCCCAGTGCTGGGGTTAAAGATGTGTGCCACCACCGCCTGGCTTGAAAAGAAGCATTTTTAAAAGGATTTTAAAAAGTTTTTATTTTTACGTGTATGGGTGTTTGTCTACATATTATGTGTATGTGTGCACTGTATGCATGCCTGATGTTCACAAAATAGAATTTCCTGGAGCTGGGGTCACAGATGGTTGATTGAGATCTTTTGTTGTGTGTGTGGAAGGGCAGGGAAGACTTACTGGAAATTTTCTATTTATACGTATGTGTGTGTGTGTGTGTGTGTGTGTGTGTCTGTGTGTGTCTGTGTGGGTGCCTGAGGCCAGAAGAGGACACAGGATCCTCTAGAACTAGAGCTGCAGGTCATTGTGAGCAACCTCATGGGGGCGCGAAAACAAACCCAGGTCCTCTGCGAGAGCAGCAAGTGCTCTTAACTGCTGAGCCAGGTCTCCGCTCCCCAGAGGAAGTTATATTTCGGCTCACAGTTTGAGAAGGGGAAGGGTCTGTCATGGTGGGAAAACACGGTGGCTGGGTTATGAGGTAGTTGGTCACACTGCAGCCATGGTGACGAAGAGCGAAGAGAGAGGCAAATGGTGCTATTCAGCTTTCTTTCCCTTCCTCCCTTTCCATCCAGTCTAGGGTTTCAACCCGAGATCTCACTGCTTGCCTTCGGAGTGGGTCTTCTCTCCTCAGTTAAACCTCCCCAGAAGCCCCTTTGACGGTCACATCCAGGAGTCTGTTTCTTACATGATTCCAAATCCAGGCAAGCTGACTGTGGATCCCAATTCAGTGGATTTGACTGAGGAAGTCTGGGGATTCTGAGAGGAGGGTGGGACCATGGTCGCGTTTTTTACTTTTTAAATGCAGAGGTGGTTCTTTTCCATTTCTTCTATGTTGTCATCAATGATGGCCCTTCTTTCTCGAAGGTGGCCTAGGGCCAGCCATGATACTTTGGTGCACCCCTCTTTCTGTCCAGCAAATGCAGGGAGGAGCGTGGTGTTCTCAAAACCTGAATTGGCTGTCAGTAAGGGTTATCTGTTTTTTTTTTTTTTGTGTGTGTGTATTTAGTTTATTTTTTTGAGACAGGATCTTGCTTTATAGCCCGATGAGTCTTGAACTCCCGATCCTCCAGCCTCAGATTCTGGAGTGCTGGTATTAAGGATGTCTGTACCATATCTGACTTGGGGGGGGGGTTCTTATTTTGAAAATTCTGTAGAATCGTTCAGTTGTGTGATCTTAGTTTTTGCCTTACTTTCTTTCTATAAATCCTGGTCTTCCATCTAAGTGGACAATGGATTATAAGAGAATAGTGTGATCCAGTGTCTCAAACCTATAGCCCAGGAAATGTCTGATCAAGCCTGAACACAGTCCTAAGTACCCTCTTGGACATTTACATATGCTTTGGCTCTCCTTACCAGAAGACACTTACCTTAGGGTTTCTGTTTGACTAGAAGCAACTTTCTGAGGAAAGGATTTATTTCAGTTACCAGTCCATCATAAAAGGCGGTCAGCACAGGAACTCAGGAAGGAAGGGAACCTGAGGCAGGAGCTGAAGCAGAAGCTTGGAGGAGTCCTGCCTGCTGCCTTGCTTCCCATGACTTTCTAATAGCACCTGGGGCTACCAGTTCAGCATGGCACTGCCCTCAGTGAACTGGATCCTCCCACATCAATTGATAATTGAGAAAATGAACCACAGGCTTACCCATAGATCAATCTGGTACAGGCATTTTCTAAGGTGAGGCTCC